AACAACTGTGAGCTACAGTTTCAACAAATTTGTCTGGATAATCGAAAAATCACCTGTTTGAAAAGATCAGCAGTTTACCAAGTGTTCCACCACACACTGTTAGCCCATAAAAGGGCTAAGAATAAACAGTCCATCATGGTGTTCACACATCGAACATTCCGGATTCTATTGTCACTAATAAAACAATATTCCAAGTTCCTGTCAAACCACGTAGCACCTCGAGGTATATCGTCATAATCTAACCGTGCCCGAAATTGAAATTATTTCAGGCAGGATTAGAGTAAATTAATTTATGGGACCTGGGGCGTGGTCAAATGCATCACTCGAAAGGGTTTGACCTCCTGAGTTCAAAACTGTCATTAGATGTGAAATCGGTCAAGAGATGGCGGAGCTATGAGCGAAAAGTTTGTACTTGAAAAAACAAACAAACTCAGAGTCGTTCTATGAGCCGCTCAGCTAAATACCAAAACAAGTGATTCCCAACCTGTGGTCCCCGGACCCCTGGGGATTCGCGAAGAGAATACCATCTCATTAAACAAGTAAGTTTTTTAATTCTGCTGTTGTTTTAATTGCACACTAAGTGATATATGTCTTTTATTTGATAGTGAAAAATGGAAAAACAAGGTAACTAGTAGTAAGAAAAACAGTTTGTTGGGTTGATGGAATCTTTCAAAAAACATGGGGTCCTTGGTGGTGAAAAGGTTGGGAACCGCTGTACTAAACGTTTGTTCTCATTTTCATCTAAAAACAAGTGTTTTTCTACTAAGCCTTTAATTATATATGCAAGGGTAAAGTGCTTTAGAATGTGGTTTGTTCCTAATGTCTAAAAAGCGAAGTACGTTAGGTTTATCAAATAAGAAAGGTCATTTTAAAATAAAAGAGAAGCGGGCGTGGCCTTCTAGTCAGCACGGCCGGACTATAAATCCAAGAATTCCGAGTTCGCATCCCGTTGCCGTACACAAACTCGATCCTTACGGTCAAGTGTTATTATTCGTTCAGAAAATAGTAGCTCAAAAGTTGGTGGTTGGTGTCGTTCGTGAGCTGTCCCCCCTCTTCTCTAGTGTTGTTAAGAATGTTAGTTTATTTACATTGATAAGGTCCGACCGGTAGTCCAACTGATACTAGTGGTAGTCCAACTGATACTAGTGATAGTCCAACTGATACTAGTGGTAGTCCAACTGATACTAGTGGTAGTCCAACTGATACTAGTGGTATTCCAACTGATGCTAATGGTATTCCAACTGATACTAGTGGTACTCCAACTGATACTAGTGGTAGTCCAACTGATACTAGTGGTAGTCCAACTGATACTAGTGGTAGTCCAACTGATACTAGTGGTATTCCAACTGATGCTAGTGGTATTCCAACTGATGCTAGTGGTAGTCCAACTGATGCCAGTGGTAGTCCAACTGATACTAGGGGTAGTCCAACTGATATTAGTGGTATTCCAACTGATACAAGTGGTAGTCCAACTGATACTAGTGATAGTCCAACTGATACTAGTGGTAGTCCAACTGATACTAGTGGTAGTCCAACTGATACTAGTGGTATTCCAACTGATGCTAATGGTAGTCCAACTGATACTA